TGTTGACATGTAGTGGGGTTGTTAACCATTGTCATAGGGCAACATGTGTACTGTTTAATGAGAAACTATTTTGTTCTGTAAACCTTCATGTAAAGTACAGTAATAAAAAGAAGGTCCCTTGGGCCTCTCTGCAGTCAGTCCCCTGCCCCAGGCCACCACTGAGAGTCAAGGCCATGCTTCTTAGCACTTCCTCTGCCAAGTGTCTCCCACCCTTCAGGCACCCAGACCTCCCTGTGGGCCCCCACGCACCAGCTCAGTGGCTGGTTTAGGCACCCCCCTGCCCTCATCCCCCCAACCCTGGTGGGGAACCAGCTGAATGGTGCCTGTTGCTACACCTCCTGCTCAGAGCTCACAGGCGCTGGTGTGAGTGCCTTCTCGTCACGCAAGCCAAGAGCGTCTCTGCTGTTGATTCAGAAAACTTCGGGGCTCAGCTGATGGGATGTCAGGAGTTCAGAAGCATTGGTAAATCTCCTGAACCGGGTGGCCAGCCACCTGGGATTCAGGGTACGAGCAGCGGCCTTTGCTGAGAGCTCATTGTTCCCAGTAATGAAACTTCTGGAGGCCTGCTGTGCTTGCTGCAGTACATGGGTCTGCTTTTCAGAGCTCGGTGCCAGTGCCGTGCCGGATGTCAGCAGTGTTTAATTCAGTCACCTGGAAAATGCGCTTCGCATGTCTGAAACCCAGTCTCTGTGGAGATTAGAAGTTGTTTTTTTTTTTTTTGGTTTTTTTTTTTTAGATTAGAAACCTTTTCAAGTTTCCACTAAGGTAGAACAACACACTTTCACGCACCCAACATCTAGATTGAACATTTATTAACATCTTGCCATTTCTGTGCCAGCTAAATTGAATTCCAGAACATTCTGTCATTTTGCCCCTGTGTATTCAGCGTGCATCTCTGAGGAATATGGACATTTTTTATGTAACCACAATGCTGTGCTAACCCCTAACAAGATTAACAACAACTTCAGCTGTAGCTTTAAAGAGGTTTTGTTTTGTTTGTGCTTTGTGTGTTTTGCCAGAAAATGATTCTTTAAAGTGTCTGAGGTAAACAGTGTATGGATCCAGAGCCCAGGGGGCGAAGGAGATGGTCAAGTTCAGAGAGAAAAACCTCTTCCAGTGAAGACGAGCCTGAGCTAACTTGGCATCCCCGATGCTGAAATAGGAGCTGAGAACCACCTAAGTCAGGAATTGGAGCAAAGCTACTTAGAATGCCAGTGTCCCAGAAGAACTAGATGGTACCTGGCTACCACCAATGACCACCCTGACAGGGAACACAACAGAGAGAGTCCCTGATGGAGCAGGAGAAAAGTGGGGTGCAGAACTCAAATTCTAGTAAGAAGACCAGACTTAATGGTCTGACTGAGACTGGAGGAACCCCGGAAAGCATGGCACCCACACTTTATCCGTCAGCGCAGAACTAAAACAATTCCTGAGGCCAACTCTTCAGACAAAGATTGGACTGGACTGTGGGATATAAAATGATACTTGTGAAGAGTGTACTTCTTAGCTCAAGTAGGTACATGAGACTAAATGGGCAGCTCCTGTCCAGAGGTGAGATGAGAAGGCAGAGAGGGTCAGGAGCTGGTTGAATGAAAGCAGGAAATCAGGGGTGGGAAGGAGGAGTGTGCTGTCACGGTATAGAGAGAGCAATTGGGGTCACATAACAGTGTATATATAAATTTTTGTATGAGAGACTGACTTGAATTGTAAACTTTCACTTAAACTACAACAATTAAAAATTAAAAAAAAAAAAAAAAAAAGAATGTCAGTGTCTGCCCTGTAAAAGGTCAAGGTGAAGGGTGATGTCCCTGAGAGAGAGCTGGACCTTGTAGGCTGGCGGGCAGTCAGAGCCAACATTGATAGATGCTTCCTCCACGCCAAGCAGTGTTCCCAGCGCCTTTACATCCACAACCCATTCCAGCCTCAGAATAGTCCTGGGAAGGGCTGACCTTTTCCATTTTACAGAGGACGCTCAGAGAGACTTACTAATTAAGACTAAAGAAGAGGCTGAGGGCAGTGCAGTGGGGTTCAGTGGGAGAACTCTCACCTTCCATGCAGGAAACCAGGTTCGGTTCCTGGCTGATGCACCTTACGTGCAGCCATCACCCGTCTCTCAGTGGAGGCTTGCGTGTTGCTATGACGCTGAACAGGTTTCAGCAGAGCTTCCAGGCTAAGACGGACTAGGAAGAAAGGCCTGGCCGTCTACTTCTGAAAATAAGCCAATGGAAACCCTATGGAGCACAACGATCAATCCACAGACGATCCTGGGGATGGGGCAGGACCGGGCAGCATCTCATTCCATTGAGCATGAGGTTGCCACGCGTCAGGGGCCGACTCAGTGGCAGCTAAGGACAACACAGAAGAGGCCCCAGTCAGTGTCTGAATCTCTCCCTTTGTCGGGTGGTGGTTGCCCTGAAACCTTGAGAAAAGGGAAGAGGTGAGGTACACCAACAACCCGTCACTCAGAGGGGTGAATGTGGTGGCGAGCCCGGTGGGCTTCACCTGCTCTTGGGGGTGGAGCCCTTGAGCCCTCACAGTCAAGTTCCTTGGAGTAACAGTAATAGCCCTTCACCTAGGATAATTGGTCCCGTCTGGTGAGTGCCGGGCTGCATTTTGGACGGAGATAACTCAAAACTAACGACGTGACGTGCCCGTCAGACCTCTGGGCATCTCCGGGGCAATCATGGTGCCCACTGGCAGAATCGTAGTTCCTAAGTAAGTTTAGGTGAGTTAACAACAGTCTTCTCAGGAGACTACCCGCCACCCCCAAACTTTTTATTATGAAAACTTTCAAACATATAGAAAAACTAAGCATATAGGACAAGTCCCCGTATTAGACCTACCAGCCACCTCGATTCAACAGTTAATAGCATTTTGTCCTGTTTGCTTCATATGGGGGTAGTGAGTGTTTTGTTTGTCCTCTGAACCATTTAGTTAGTTGTAGACATCATGATGCTTCATTCCAAAATATCTCAGCCTGCCTCTCCTAAGAACGGTGTCCTCCTCCCTTGTCACTCTACCCTTTCACATCTAAGAACGTCAGAGATCGTTTCATAATCTCATCTACTATCCAGCCCGTACTTAAATTTCCCCAAAATGTCTTGACGTTTTACTTTTCCTAGTAGGGGTTCAAGGAGCCCTGGTAGCACAACAGTTAAGACTCGCCTGCTAACCGAAAGGTCAGCGGTTTGAACCCACCCAGCAGCTCCAGGGAGAAAGACCTGGCGATCTGCTCCCATAAAGATTACAGCCTAGGAAGCCCTATGGGGCAGTTTTACTCTGTCACATGGAGTCGCTATGGGTCGGAATTGACTTGACAGCACCCAGTAACAACAGTAGGGACTCATGCATTCCCATTTGGTCGTAGGTCTCCTTTAACCTAGTACAGTTCCTTGCCCTTTTTTTAAATGACATTGAGATTTTGAAGAGACCAGGCCAGTTGTCTTGTAGAATGTCACACATTCCTTGTCTGTTGTATGTTACGGGGTCCTTTATCTCTTTCCTGTCTGCCAGGTATTTTCTGCAAACGTGAAGTTAGGACTGAAGGCTCTGTTGGGTTCGAGGCCCACATTTCAGGCAGGGACCCTGCACAGTGGGACGCTCGCAGCGGGAGGGCCACGGGGTCGGAGGTGGAGCTCTATCACTCAGATCTGAGGGAGAGAGAAGGGTTGTCCGTTGGGACTAGTAAGGCCTCTGGGGGCTTCCTTGCCTCCCTGCCTGGCCCCCGATCCCCAACAACTCTCCCCCGTGTGTTTAACTGCCTTCGGTGATTCCCGCTGGACTCTGTTCTTTCTGTCCGTGACTCCATAGGGTGATTTTCTAATTCTGTCATTATTTCTGCTGTTGTTAGCTGCTGTTCTTCTGTAATAGAGAACTCCTCCTCCCCCCGTGGGGTCGAGCTGCACAGAGCCTCCTGGAAAGACAGTGGGTGGGTGTGCAGTTCTTCTCTTTTTTCCGTAATTTATTTTTGTTGTTGTTGAGAATATACACAGCAGAACATACACCAATTCAACAGTTTCTGCATGTACAATTCAGCGACACTGATTACACTGTTGGAGTTGTACAACCATTCTCGCCCTCCTTTTCGGAATTGTTCCTCCTCCGTTAGCATGAACTCACTGCCCCCAACGCTTCCTGTCTAGTCAACTCTTCCTTCTAATGACCAGTTTCCAACATGAAGGAAAAAAGCTTTTATTTTCTCCTTTGTCACAGCCCAACATTGGGCTCTTTTTCCTCCTTTCCCTCCCTCCCTTCCTTCTGTCCTTCTTCCCTTCCTTCCTTCTCTCCCTCTGTCCCCTCTGTCCCTCCCTTCCTTCCTTCCCCCCTTTCTCCTCCTTCTAATAAACGGGGGAGACTGCTCCATTAGCAGCCTGGGTTGAACACATTTTCCTGATTTAAAGGAGCCTTTGGCAACTTGTGACCCCCGATTGGAACTTTGTGTGTCTCTGAAAGAACTTTTTTCTGTCCACGTGTCTGCATCTGCTGGACTGGGGAGGAGTCGGGTGTGACTGAGTCCTTATGGTGAAGCAAGCGCAGCTTCCCTGGACACCCAGGAGTCCACTCCCTTGGCCCCTCAGGCTGGGGGCCCACTGCTGTGCTCCTTGCAGTGGAGAAAGAGCTGCTGTGCGCCACGTGGACCAGCCAGGGAGCAGCAGGGCTGTTGTGGGAGGCTTGGAGGGCAGCTCCGATGGAGGAGGACCTGAGAGGAGGAGAAAGAAACAGCCCAGAGACGGGGAGCGTCCCGTGAGCAGTGAGGGGAGCCTGCGTCCTCCTGCCCCTTCCCCTGCCCGAGCCTCAGTTTCCTCATCTGCAGAGTAGGGGCGCCCATGACACCTGGCACATGGGACGACTGTGAGGGATAGGTGCCTCAGTGCTCACTGAAAAGACCCCATGTACATGGCAGGCTGTGTATCTGGCTTACCTCCCGACGGTAATCTAGGAGAAGGAAGGCATGGCGGGTGCAGGTGGGCCACCCCTGACGCTGTCCCCTCTCCCCGCAGGTGTGAATGACAGAGGTGGTGCCGTCCAGCGCCCTCAGCGAGGTCAGCCTGCGCCTCCTGTGCCACGATGACATAGACACCGTGAAGCACCTCTGTGGCGACTGGTTCCCCATTGAGTAAGTGAGGCCTGCCGTCGTGGGGTGGGGGAGAACCTGCGGAGGCGAAGCTGGAAGAGTCTCTGATCCCAGGGCCATGTTGTCAGACCGCGAAGGCGAGGGTGGCCCCAAGTCCCTTCACTTGTCAGTGGGCCTAGGCCCTGCCCCCCGGCCGCTATTGGGCTTTCTCCACCACGCTGTGTTCCTTTCACGAAGAGCCCCTGAAAGGCTTTGCTAGGAAACTTTAGTTACCAAAGTGTTCAATGCAGTGCTGTTTACAATTAGGAAAATTCAGAAGCAGCCTAAGTATCTTAACAGTAAGGCTACACACATTAGGGTGTAGGTGTGCAAGGCAGTACTATCTCGTCGGGAAAACGCCCATGGAAGAGGGATCTTTGTTGACAAGAAGCATTTCTTATGAGATACTGAATTTTAAAATGCAGACTGTGGAACAATACGTACAATGATCCTGTTGTCATTTAAAATCACGCCCGTCCACATAAACCAGAGATTCCATCAGCCTGAGACCAGAAGAACCAGATAGTCCCAGCTATCACCAGTGACCTCCCTGAGACGCAACACAACAGACAGTCACTGACGGAGCAGGAGGAAAGTGGGGTGCAAAACTCAAATTCTAGTAAAATTACTAGACTTAATGATCTGATTGAGACTGGAGGGACCCCAGAAGACATGGCCCCCGGACACTCTGTTAGCCCAGAACTGAAACCATTCCCAAGGCCAACTCTTCAGACAAAGATTAGACTGGACTATAAGGCACAAAATGATACCGGTGCAGAGAGTGCTTCTTAGCTCAGGTAGATACATGAGACTAAATGGGCAGCTCCTGTCCGGAGGCGAGATGAGAAGGCAGAGAGGGTCAGGAGCTGGATGAATGGACATGGGAAATCCGGGGTGGAAACGAGGAGTGTGCTGTCACAGTATAGGGAGAGCAGCTAGGGTTACATAACAATGTGTATGTAAATTTTTGTGTGAGAGACTAACAAACTGTAAACTTCAACTTAAAGCACAATTAAAAAAAAAAAAATTAGGACAAACTCAAAATTTTATTACAAAATATGGAGTGGGATAAATGCACAGAAAAATTTGGAGTGACACAGACTGGGTTCAGATCCCAACTCCAACACATTAGTTAGTTATCTAAAAAAAAAGAAAAAAGTCACGCCCATAGATAAAAGTTTACGAGGCTATGTACCATGTTAGGAAATCCTGGTGGCACAGTGGTTAAGAGCTGCAGCTGCTAACCAAAAGGTTGGCAGTTCGAATCCACCAGGCGCTCCTTGGAAACCGTATGGGGCCGTTCTCCTCTGTCCTACAGGGTCGCTGTGAGTTGGAGTCGACTCGACTCGACGGCAGCGGGGTTTTTTTCATACCCTGTAACAGTGTTTTCAGTAGTTGGGGGTGGGGAGGGTATTAGTGTGAGTAATTTCTGTTTTTAATTGTATTTCTTATCTGTAAAATACACATACAGCTTTAGTAGTGAGAAAAATAGAAGCAAACTTTATAAATAAGATCCTGCCGATCCATGAGTCTTAATCTTGGATTTGTTGTTTAAGCCGCTGCTGGCAGGAACGTGGGAACAGGGCGGCTCTTGTACGTCGCTGATGGAAGTGTGAGTTATTACAGCCTTTTGAGAATGTTAAAATGAAAAAATAAATGAATTCTTCAGCCCAGCAATTTCATTCCTGGAAATTAATCCAGAGGGGAAAAAAGCACCAGTAAGTACATAAGTAAAACCCTGCTGAGACTGGGGACTGAGCGCTTCCAAACTGGGCGAGGGTCTCGGTGCAGCCAGCCCACCCCACCATCCTTGCTGCTCCAAGGGCCTGAGACCTCTGCTTCCAAAGAAGATGGAGGAGTGAGCTGTGATGTCACCCGCCCCGTCCGGGCTGCAGACCCACATGGCTGCACCCTCTCTCCAAGGCCCTTGACTAGTTCCTGGGGACAGAAGATGGGAACCATGGAGAGGACCAGGGCAGCTTGGACAATGCTCAGGCCCTGGAGGAGAACCTTCCAGAGGGTGATCAGTGGCCTCTGCAGAGCAGAGCAGAGAACCTCTGTGCTGTGTGGCTGCAAGGGTGATACCTTCCTGCAGAAAGGCACGCAGGACAAACCTGTCAGGTCTGTTCCAGTTTTAAGACAAAACATAGTCATAAAATCCCGAGCTCCTCCGCCCTTCTGACGGTGCGGCTCTCTCTCTGGCTGTCGCTGAATCCTGCCTTTTAACGACTGTGTCCTCAGGATTTGCACTAAATGTTCTCTTCCTGGCATCCCTCTGAGAATCTTGGCCCAGGTCTAGGTGAGTAGCCCCTGCAGCACTGGCCATGCATTTCCCTCAAGGGTTTTTCCTCATGCCTGTCTAGAAGCTTCCATCAACTCCGATGCCACTCAGCTCTGAACCTGGTGCTCCCCAGACTGCCTCCCCCGTCTTCAGTGTGAAAAACACACCTCACACACAAAGTGCATACTGTATGATTCTACTTACGTGGAGCTGAGAAATAAGCAGAACTATTCTATGGATCAGAAGTCAGGAGAGTGATTATCTTGGGGGGAGGCAATGAGTGGAGGGGGACAATAGGGGTTCCTGGGGTCCTAGTAAAGTTTTGTTTCTTAATGTGGGTTCTGGTCATACTGGCGTGCTTCCTTTTGATAATTAGTTAAGATGGTATTCATGATTTATGTACTTTTTGCAGGTATATTATACTTTAAAAAAAATACAACGAATGACTTTGAAAAGGTTTGGGCATTTTTTCAATAAATATAAATGTTTCACAGGATTCGTGTAGAAGGTCTTCCAGGGTCCGTGACTGGCCATGGACCCCAAAACCCTAATTCATCCAGCCAAGAGACAAGCTGCCTCACTGCCCCAGCGGACCCTCTGGGCACTGCCCTCACAGGGACAACGTCACTGGAGGCGTTTTTCCTCTTGTATCTTGTGTCTTGTAAAATCATCTTTCCCATCAGAAATCCCCAGTCCTGTCTCGGCAGAGAGTCACTGGGTGGTGTAAATGGTTAAGTGCTCGGCTGCTAACCGAAAGAGTCAGCACTTCGAACCCACCAATCCCTCTGCAGGAGAAAGACCTAGCGATCTGCTCACGTGGATTACAGCCTAGGAAATCCAAGGGGGCAGTTCTGCTCTGTCATTTAGAGTCACTGTGAGTTGGAATCAACTCGACAGCACACAATAACAACAATATCTGGACAGGGAGTCCCTGGGTGACGCAAATGGTTAAGTGCTCAGCTGCTAACCCAAAGGTTGGAAGTTCAAGTCCACTCAGAAGCACCTCAGATGAAAGGCCTGGCAATCTACTTCCAAAAGATTAGCCACTGAAAACTCTTAACGAGCGCAGTTCTACTCTGGCGTGCGTAGGATTGCGTGAATTGCAGTCGACTCCGTGGTAGCTGGTTTGGTTTTGGTTTTGATTTTGTGGGGACAGAGTTTAGATATGACAGCTTCGAGAAGACAGCCATGCCAGCTAGGTAGAGACTGAGTGATGGGCAGACTCCTTACCCACCTCGGCACAGTGGACGGAAGCAGCCTAGAGCTCCCCTTGCTTCTAATGGCCAAAGCACCGACCTTAGTTGGACTTGACCTTGGGCGGGGTTCACGTGAGTGTGTTCTTCTCAGGTACCCAGACTCATGGTATCGTGATATCACATCCAACAAGAAGTTCTTTTCCCTTGCTGCAACTTACAGAGGCGCCATCGTGGGAATGATAGTAGCTGAGATAAAAAGTAGGACCAAGATACATAAAGAGGTAAGTCTGTACTAGACCCGTTGTGCTGGGGGACCCCTGAATCTCTTGCCCTGAGATCATCCCTAACATAGAACCAGAACTATCCCATGAAGTCATCTTTAAACTAAACCACAGTTTAGCTCAACCAGTAAAGAATGTTCCCCTTGAGCAATGCGCTCTTCTAAAGGATTGTCTAAATGAGATCAAACTGACGACGCTAACTCTAAACCACAGAGGAGACGTTCAGGGGACAGAGAGTCTAAGTTAATGATAGTGAGACAGTGTGGGCAGAGATGGCGAGAATGGGGACACAATGCAAAGAAGGTAATCAGTGTCACTGAACTGTACATGTAGAAAACCTTGAATGGGCATCTGTGTGGTGCTGACTTGGAGGTCACTGTCACAGGACAGGCCAAGGGAGGCCAGTAGGAGACTCACGCCCCCGCTTTTCGGCCCTTTGTCCTAGGAGCCTCCAGAATTCAAGCTGGAGTATGAGACTCACCCCCAGTTGGTTTCCTTCAGGGTGACCTTGTCCATCCTAGCTTCCTCCTGAGCTGCTTTCTTGCCGTTTTTTCAGTGCTAAGATACAGCCCCCCAAAAAGAAAAGAAACGTTGACATTTTCCAGAAGTATCCATATGCTTTTGATCTCTCCTCTTGTGTGGAATAAACAAGGATCCCATCTGCCCTCTAGCTGCTCTCCTCTCCCTCCCTGTGACTCGCTGCTCCCCGAAGCCCCTCCTGGTAGCTCTTCCTGAGTACCCCCAGATGGCTGTGCCGGTAGCTCTCCATGCTCCTTTGGGCAGAGACGGGACCATTTTGCTTCTACTCCCTGGACTCTCAGGGGAGGGGGCCCTCACACCCCAGGCACCCGCTCACTCGGGCCTCACGGAAAGGCTGAATGGATTCTATGCCAGGCAGAGCAGGGCCTGTTAAAAGATGTCAGCGGGGAGCGAGGCACTCGCCTCGTCTTCCTGACCCTTCCCAGGAGCTTTCAGTAACAAAAGTGATAAAGACACCCTGGTCCCAGAGACCCATGGGCAAGGCTGGCCTCTGTCCAGGCCGATGGTGGCAGGAAGTATTGGGCCATGAGAGCGGCACAGGGCCGGGGTGGCACATAGGATGGGGATTGGAAAGGCAGAGCCTCCAGATGTCCTTGTTATGGTGGGGGGCACCATATGCACTACAGACCCTTCTAGTTCCCTGAGGCGGAAGAACATAAGGGACTCATAGTGGTCAGATTCACAGCTCTCCCAGCCCAGAACTCTGTCTCTGGAACCAAGAGATGTGGGTGGCGTGGGCAGGCAGAGGGTGGTGGGCGGGCTCCCCAAACTTCGCTACTTCCCTCTGAGACCACCTGGAGGTGGCAGGTGATTCCTGAATGAAACCCTTTAAAGCTTTCTGTTTGTCCGTCTGTCTTGCCCCTTTGAGCATTAGCTCACACAAACCGGGTACCTGCTCAGTCTAATTGTTGTCTTTGTAGTTGCCATGCTGTACCCTATTCTGGCATCAAAGTGCCCTTCCTGTCCCCATCTGTTCTGCCACCGTCCCCCAGAGCAGCTACTTTTCTGTGTGTATTTGGAGTTTAGCAGTTGTCTACCCAAACAGCCAAAATGCTCTCATTTCCATGGGGAGGTGGGGGTGACTCTCTGCTCTCCTCTTTGTTCTGTCCCCTCCCCTTCCCTACTGTCCCTCCAGGCCAGGGGAGGTTCATCCTGCTCCTTGTAGAATAGACCCAGCAAGACGCCATGGATCGCTGGTGTTGACCTGACTTCATTCTTCAACTTTTTCTTTAGGATGGAGATATTTTAGCCTCCAACTTCTCTGTTGACACCCAAGTGGCGTACATCCTAAGTCTGGGAGTAGTGAAAGAATTCCGGAAGCACGGCATAGGTAAGAGGCAGCCGAGATTGGAGTATCTGACCACCCTGTCCAGTCGTCCTCGTCCTGATGATTCAAGCTCATCTAGATCTCTCTGGTCTGTTCCTTCATTTTTGTCCTGCCATCTTGGGTCAGACCTTCACCATCCCCCACTGCCCCCAGCAAGTCTCCCGACCCCTGTTGGCCTGCAGCCCACCGTCTTTCCATGAGCCGCCATGTCTTTCTGCGGTAGCCTGGTTCCCAGATCTGACATGATGAGATCAGTAACAGCCCAGCCCTCCCCACTTCTGCTGCCCCACACGTAGCTCGCGTCAGCTCACAAGGGTATCTTTGACTAACAGTCGAAACCAGAGTTTAAAAAGCAGTACTAGCCAGCCCGCTAGACTGCTTGATGGGTAACCAGCACTGTAGTGCAGGCACGTCATAAATTCCTGTTCCGTTTGGGCCACGCAGTCAGTGAGCCGTGGAGTCTAAAGTCTCACCCCAGGCCTGGCCCGACCATGTTTCCTGGGTTCAGGTTCACCCTTTTTATTGTCTGAAATGTCATTTGAGTCTCCATGGGGCGTCTAGCCCATGGGAGGGGTTTTAGGGACTTTGACGGTGGGTGGTTCTAGAAGGTCAGCTTTGGCTACAACAGGCAGGGAGGTCCCCGGGGGATTTCTGCAAAGGGCACTTCTTTCTCTGCATCCTCCTCTTTCCTCTTTCGCACTGTTCTGCTGAGCGTCACCTTCAGCTCTTCTCTCCCAGGTTCCCTTTTACTTGAAAGTTTGAAGGATCACATATCAACCACCGCCCAGGACCACTGCAAAGCCATCTACCTGCACGTCCTCACCACCAACAACACGGCAATAAACTTCTACGAGAACAGAGACTTTAAGCAGCACCACTATCTCCCCTATTACTACTCCATCCGGGGGGTCCTCAAAGACGGCTTCACCTATGTCCTCTACATCAATGGCGGCCACCCTCCGTGGACAATCTTATATCCTTTACCTCGGGGGCGGAGGGCTGTGGCCCCCCCGACGTGGGGGTGGGGCTCTCAGTGATGGAGCCGGCAGGCCCGTTGGCGCTCTGGTCTCCTTCAGGTGACTTTCAGGTGGCCACGCTTGCAAGGTGTGGTATGTTGGCCGTGTCTCCCAAACCAGGCCGTGTTTCAGGTAAACATGTGGCAAATGATCTGATTACAAGTATTGGAAAAGTGAGTGGTTTCTGGCACTCAGGGCCCCCCACCCGATTTCAGCTGGGTGTGAGGGGCGGAGTTCAGCCCTAAATCCAGCCAGCCAGCCATTCACTCAACAACTATTTATTGAGAGTCATCCATGCCAGGTGCTGGGGAGACCAGTGCGAACAAAACAGGTGAAACTCCCCGCCCCCATGAAGCGTGTATGTGAGTAGGGAGGAAACAGACAAGTAGAATGAAAAAAGCCTTTTCACTTTTTTGAACATTTGGGTTCAAGCAGGGGTCTCTTTCTTTTGGGGTTGCATGACCCAAAGATGTGAGCCTTGTCCTGTGGCCTCCTCTTGAACTCTCTGGCCCTTGGCAGGGAGGAGGGAGGTCAGGAGACTCCCCCCTCCCCTTTTTTTTTTCCAGTTGTAAAAATATAACACAACATTTGCCAGCCCAGCGTTTTTCAGGGATACGACTTAGTGAACATTAATCATGTTGTGCAGCCATTACCCTTGATGCCAGATTTCCCATTGGAGACTTCTTAGTCATCATAAAGTATGACCCAAAAAGCACTGTGTGCGTGTATGTGTGAGAGAGCGAGAACTGTGTGTGAATGTATGTGAGAGAATTGTGTATGAATGTGTGTGTGAGAGAATTGTGTGTGAATTTGTGTATGAATGTGTGTGTGAGAGACAGAACTCTGTCTGTCATCAAAGGAATGAGTCTAGGCTTTATTCATTTCATAGGGAAGTAAACAGGAAAGAGACGGGTGGCCCCAAACCCTGCAGGCCTCCTAACTCATATGAAGATGGGCCCCTGGGGGTGTCCGGGAGATGAGCACAGCTGGCCCCCATCCTTGTCACAGGCACAGGTGCCTCTGTATGTCATGCTGTCCTGAGGTTGGAGGTTGTTGGGGGAGAACGAGGAAACTTGCCCTTTTACCAGACCCGTCCCCAGCACCCGCTGTGAGTCGGCCTTAGGTGGGGGTCAGGTGCCTGTGGCCTTACTGCCCTTTATCATTCGTCCACAGCAGACCCCCCCAAGCCCAGTGAGCCCCCAGCGCTCGCTGCAGAGGCTTAGCCAGCGCTTGGCCCTGCGGGAGCCCCTTGTGCTGCCATCCTGGGCGTCATGTCTGCCCCACGGGGGCAGGCGAGGGCTGATCAGAGTCTTCCTTAACGGAGCCCACGGACTACATCCAGCACTTGGGCTCTGCACTAGCCAGCCTGAGCCCCTGCTCCATCCCACAGAGGCTCTACCGCCAGGCCCACAGCCTGCTCTGCAGCTTCCTGCCCTGGTCCAGCATCTCTGCCAAGGGTGGCATCGAGTATAGCCGGACCATGTGAGGTCAGCCGGGCTGTCTCCGCTGGCCCCCGCCCCTCAGTACCTGCTGAGCCTGCCTTCCTGTCCCTCTGACCCCTGAGGTCCTCTGGGAAGGAGCCGGCGGCCACCTGCCGGACCCGTTGGCCTGCCCCATCTGCAGGCCCGGTGCTACGCGGGCTCGGGAGTGGCGCCGGGCATGGCCAGAGCACGTGGCCTCTGACAGGTACGCCAGAGCAGGTGGCGGGGAAGAGAGCAGACCTGATAGAGAGGATAACCAACAAAAACACCAGTTTCCACTGAGTCCATTCTGACTCATGACAACCCACGTGTGTATGAGGAGAACTGCACTCATAGGGTTTTCAGTAGCTGATTTTAGGATGTCAGCATATTTCCCTGGGGGACGGAGTTCAACCCCTAACAGGAATCGTAGGGGTTCCAGAGCATACCCCCTTGTTCATATAGACACAGCCCGGAGAGGCTCAGTGGTGTGGACCATGGCCAGTTGAGCTGGGACCCTGAGTTTGGGAGCAAGGCCTTGATATAGGCTGGTATCGAGGGGAACCTGGTGGTCACTGGGGAAGATCTTGAGCTTCAGGAGCACCCTTGGCTCCTCCCAGGCTGGGTCGCTGCGAGGCCCAGCTGCGGGCCCCGTGCTGGACACGGCGCGGCCCTCATCCTTCCCGTGTTCTCTCCCACAGGCTCCTCCCGCTGCCGAAACCTCTGCCCTGCCTTCCACGCACACTCGCGTCCCTCGTGGCACCCCCACGGGCCGGCTGGGACGCGGCTGCCTTCACTGTGGTCTGTCTCTCCCGCCGCCCGCCTGGGGAGCAGGAGGGCAGGAAGGGGCCTCACTCTTTGTGCCCCTTGCCCGACCTCTTCCACTTTCCCGCCGGTCCTTGTCAGCTCCCCCCACCAAAGCCAGAATGAACCTGCTGCTGGGAGGAAGGAACAGAAGTGTTATGGACGGACGTGACCCTGGAGATGGGAACAACAGCTCAGAACAATGGGGGACGGAGTGAAGGGGTGCCCGACCCTCATCCAGAGCCAGCCTGCGGGAACTGGGGGCAAGGGCAGCCCTGCTCCCCACAAGGGGCTGGCCCATGGAGGGCGGAGCACCAAGCTCAGGGCCAGGCTCCCTGGCATAAGGGGCCAGAGTTGCAGGTTGCTGCCCTGCTCCTCCGTGGGACGTGGATTCCTCTGGCTGCCCTTGCTGCTTCACGCTGTCCCAGAGAGATGGGGGCTGCTCATTGGATCCTGGAGGCTCTTTGCTGAATGCTGGGGAGAGCTGGGCTGAGGACATGCCTTGCAGGTCTCCGAGGTCTCGCCAGACATGTGACAGCGGCCGGCAAGTGAGGCCTGGCCTGGAGGTGGGGTCAGCGGTCACATGCTGTGGTTCCTTGGGGGTCCCAAGGCAGTGGTGGGCCAGCTGGTCCCGTGCCCACGGCGAGCTCGTGGCATGCAGCCTGCATCCTTCATGTGCTTCTGCATCTTCTCCCCACCGTGTGCCCCCAGAGCCCTGGGCTGCCTCCCCTGCTTCCAAAGCAGCCAGGTGGGGGCAGGGTCCCTTCACAAGCCGCCATCATGGGGGCCCTCGGGAGAAGAAGGGACAACTGAACAGATGTGGCCTCGTGACTTGAACCCCTTGCTCCTTCAGAATGCCCTGGCCCAGGGCTCAGGGTGCTGGAGCCACCCTCGGCCTCATGCCACCCTCCCCCCACCTGTGCCACCTGCCCCGCACCCACACGGCCGCTGCCACACTGATGCTCCTCTGCTGATGTCGGCTGGGCACTGAGACCCAGCTCCGTGTTCTCTCTGATCTGAATCAACGGTGATCCTGTGATTTTTATGTCTGCCCTGTGGGGTGAGGGACGAGGGGAGGTTCTGCCTTGGACGTTCATCCCCGAGCCCGGACGCCCTGCCCTCCCCCCACCCCCCAATCACTGCAGTGTCATTCCGTGTTGAACGGAGTGTAGTCTTTTGTCTTATCCCAACAAATAAACAGACTTTAATCGGTCACATCCTATCTTTCCAGTGCCCGGCTCGCTGCGCTTTGGGCCCTGTCGCTGCTGACCCAGTCCCCATTGCCAGGCCCTGGAGCTGCCTGTCCAGCGTGGAGTCCCCAGGACCACCTCCAGCCAAGCAGGCCGGTGGCTCTGAGCTTTACCCACATCTTGTTATTGTGTGCCGTCAAGTTGATGCCAACTCACAGCGACCCTATAGGTTACAGTAGAACTGACACAGGGTTTCCAAGGCTGTAATCTTAACAGAAGCAGATGGCCAGGTCTTTCTTCTGTGGAGCAGCTGGTAGGTTCAAACTGCCAACCTTTCAGTGAGCAGCCTTGCGCTATAACCATTGTGCACCAGGGCTCCAGCATCCTAGCTCTGAGGTGAAAAGGATAACTGGGATGTTGTTCTTAAACAACCAGAGACCCCGAAGCTGCCTGTTTTCCCGCCAGGTCCCTGGCCTACCTTTGGCCTCTAGCTGGTCCCAGCCCACCCTGCCTTTGGGGGTGCTGTCCTGGTCTAGAGAAGGTCCCACAGGTGACTCGGCGGCATACCCTGGAGCCTGAGGAGGGGACACCGGGCCAGGACACCCCACACTGGGAGCCCGAGGGGAGTGCCAGCATGTCCAGCCCCTGGCTGGGCCCAGCACAGGGTCAGGTGCTTCCACCAGCCTCTCTGAAACATCTGGCCACCCTGCGGACAGGATTGGTTCTCCCATTAGACGAGGAGAAGGGGTTCGGGCAGTTACCCGAGAGCCCCCGGCTCGTCAGTGGTGGGCCCGGGAGTGTGTGTCCCCACTCTGTTCTCGAGCTTCCGACCTCAGCCAGCTGTCCCCCAGGGGCTGGGCACCCTCCCCAGTCTCTCCCCCAGCAGAGTGTCTTATGCCCCTGCACATCTCCACCTGGGTGAGTCACCACACAGAGCTAGAGGCTCTGACGGGGTCCGGGGAGGTCAGGGAGTTGGCTGGGACCTGCCGAGAGGTGCCTGGAGCCAGTGGGTCTGCTGAAGCCTCAGACCCCTGTCTGGGAGGCCACAGGGCGAGTGACGCCAGTTAACCCCTGCTGGAGCCTGTGGCCCCACAGGAGCGTCCCCGTGCTGCTGAGTCACTTGGCTGGTTATCAGGCCGGGGGCGACTCTTGGGGCCCTGGGTCAATTATGTGACCAAATGTCAGCTTGCTGGGTGGGACTCGGGCTGAACCAGGCCCCGAGGGCAGCCGTGGCCCTGGCTGGTGTGGCGGAGACCAAGCCAGTGCATCCCAGCCCTGTGCTTGGGGGAGGATGAGGGTGGCAGGTGCTGGCAGGTGGGTCCAGGGCCATGAGGCTCCCACAGCCACCCCTGCAAGATTGAGGACAGCCCAGCCCTGAAGGGAGCCAGCTTTCCACTCCGCCCACACTGGGACCTGTGCTGGGATGGGGCGCGTTGTCTGCAAGACCCCCCAGATGCCTACGGGTCTCCCGGTGGGGCGGGGGCTGGAACTGTGTAACAGTCCACGCCAGGGGTCTTTGTACTCCGGCACCGGCTCCCCGAGGGCTGAGACACCCTATTGCCCAGTGCAAGCCCACTGGAGGTTCCGGGACTCAGAGGGCAGAGGGGGTGCTCCGGGGTGGTGGATGGGCCTTGGCAGAGTGTCTGCCTCGTCCGGACCGAGCGGGGCTCCTCCTCCACGTCAGTTCCCTGCCCCCAGCATGCCATGCCTGTGGCTTTTCTGCTTCTCAGCCTGTTTGGAGGCCTGTCAGGAAACCCGTGAGGGACTGAGGACGACTGTTGAGAGGCCAGTTCAGAGCCAGTTTTCTTTGGGGCCACATGTCTGTCTCCCAGGGGGAAGGCCCTGGGCAGTGGTTATGTGTAGATGTGTGACAGACCACCCCAAACCTCGCTTAGACCATAACCAACAACCGTTTTATCTTCTCACAACTCTGCAATTGGAGTAGGGGTCCGTGGGGACTGGAGGACCAATTCCAGGATGGCCTAAGGTGGGTGCTGACCGTGGCTGTGGCCTCCCTGGGGCAGGGTTGCTTTCCCACATTCTGGTGGTCTCGGGACAGTCTGCCTCTTTATGTCACCGCTGACTCCCCCCAGGGCACACATTGGAAGATTCTGGTCTTCTCAAGGCCCAGAACTGGCGCCGGGTCACTTCCACCACATTCTGTTGATAAAAGCAAGACCCAGAGCCGGTCCCGATGCAAAGAGAGGGGACTACCTACGGGCCAGAATGCAGGCACACCTGGCTCATCCCAGGCCACGAAAGTGGCCGCCAACCACAGGCTGGGAGTCCCAAGATGTGGACCCTGGGACAGTCCATGGTCCTCTCTGAGCCTCGATCTTCATCCAAGAGTGAGGGGATTGGGCCCCTACAGTCTCCAAGGACTGGTCAGCTCAAACCCACACTGATGTCTTCTGCATGGCCTGGCTTCTGGTGGGGTGTCACTTCTGTCTGTGCCCTCAGGCAGCAGTCCCCACCCCCTAGTCCTCAGTTAGTGGCTGGAGCACGTGTCCCCTTTGTGTCCCCTGGGCAGCCTCCCTCACATGTCTTGAGTAGTGGTCCTTCAGGTCCAGCTGGGTGTGTGTCGTGGGAGGAAAAGAAGAGGCCCACCCTTTCTGTCATCCCATGTGACTCATCTGGTAGACTAACTGGCAGCCCCGTCAGCCACACACACACTTGCCCAGGTGCAGCTGTTGGTAGAGTGTGCAACACCTACTCCCTCATCACTCCTGGGGGCTGCTCTTCAGCTGCTACAAGCTCAGCTCCCGCTGCCCAGGGCTGCACCCAAGGACTGAAGTTCCCCGGATCAGCTGTCCCACTGTGAAAGGTCCAAGGGTGAACCAGGGTACAGGGGAAGGGAGGAGCCTAAGGGAGTGTCCCCTGCTGCTGGAACCCAGCTGTCCTGTGTCCAGAGGTGTCCTCAACACCATCGAGTGTGGTCTTGGCCCTAACCTGACCCAGGCTACTTGGGCAGAAGGTCAGCCAGACAGTCAAGGGCCACTGTTGCCAGCCCGGGTCTCCCATCCTATTCTGGCTCTAGGGGGGCCCCTCAGGCTGAGGCCCCCTCAGGCTGAGGCCCAGTGTATGGGGCATCGGTCTCACCCT